GCGACTTAACCCCGCTCGGCCGCGGCGCGCTGCAGGGGAGCTGGAGCGGGACCGACGCGGCGGCGCTTCCAGGGCCGCCCCGCGCCCCAGGGCCACGAGCTCTGCTCCGGACTGCAGGAGTGGGGCTGGGCCCTGAGAGGCTCTGGGGAGAGGCGGAGCTGGGGAAGGCATCTGAGGTGGACAGAGCCCGGCCTGTGCCTGTGCCGGTGGGGGCCTCAGGTCCTTACAGCTGCGCGTGGCCTCATTCCCCTCGCAGGACACTCCGTGCCCACGGCTGGTGAGATCAGCGGTGCGGCTGTCAGGCAGTGGGCTGATGGTGAGAGCTCTGGCTTCAGAGGAAGGATGGCCACTGGCTGACATTAGAGGCCCCAGACACTGCCCTTGGGATGTCATTTTCCACCCTAAGGTTGACCTTCTTCTAGAAGAGTTCTGGAAACGGAACCAAAGTCCTGGGCTCCAGCACCAGGTTGCCCCTAATGCTGTGTGGCTCAGCCCTGTGCTTTCTGTGGGTGGGAGGGGAGGCTCTTGGTCAGCGTGGTCACGCTGTCCTCGGCCACAGGCTATTGCCTGGCCTGCTCAGAGCTCAGGCCTGGCTTCACTTTGGAAGAGGACCCTTACCTCTGATGATCTGTATGAGTTGATGCATCAGGGATTTGGGCCAAAAATGGAGCTCTTCCTGTTCCTCAGACCACGTGGAGTATCCTTTCTTGGGGGTTCTCCCTCTTCTCTGCACCCCCCTCCTCATTAACTCAGCACCCATTGCCAGGATCATTGAAAGAGCCACAGTGATAACACTGATAACAGTGCTGCCTGATGAGAAACCACCGTGGCTCCCCAGCACCCTCCTGAGGTGTGGGAGGAAGGGAGGGTGGAGTTCTGAAAGTTTGGAGAGACTGGGGCCCTGGGCCAGGGCTGGCATCCTTCAGCAAGGTGAGTTTGGTGCTCTGAATGGGTAAGCTGAAGGTGTCAGAGGAAAGGTGGTTTGAAGACAGCTGAACAGAGAGAGCAAGCTGCAGCAGAACAGCAGCTACACAAACCCAGGGGCCTGGGGGTGTCCATGGAGAGGGAGGAGAAGGTGGAGATGTTCTCAGAGCTCAGGCGGGGATGGGGAAAGTCAAAGAGGGGCCGAGGAGGAAGGGGCGTTTGTCTGCAAAGGAATGGAGACTCCTGGCTTTTCGGAGAGCCCCTAGAAAGAGGTCAAGCCTGAGGCCACTGAGGACTTCTCCAGAGGAGACCCAGGAGGGCAGTGGAGGCAGGTCGTCCATCCAAGGTAGAGTGGTAAGAAATAACTGGGATGTGAGTGGGTACTTCTGGGAGGTGAGGGAAGAGACTAGGAAAGGGCTGGGAAAGAAGATGCTGAGGTGATACAGAGGGAGAGAGGGAAGGAGGGAGGGAGGGAGGAAGGAGGAAGGAAGGAGGAAAGAAGAGGTAAGGGGGAGTCTTCCTGGGCCCTTAAGGAGGTTCCTGTCCACCAGGATCCTGGAGGATTCAGGAAGGATTTCCTGGAGCTGGCATACCTATGCCCACCCCCACCCCAAGTGTAAAGTTACCTGGTACTTCCAAGGCAGAGCCATGCCCTGCTGGCTAGACAATGATTCAGCACAGACCAGCCCCATAGGGCCCCTCAGCCAGGGGGATGGAGGACTTACCTGTCCACACTCTGAGGGTGGCCCTGCATCCAATCCTCCCAACCCAGCCTTGCTGGTAGAGCAGAGGGGGCTGGGCTACCCATCCCACACACCTGGTGCCATACCTGGCCTTGCTGCCATCTCCCAGGATGTGGAGGCTGCAGCTGCATGGAGGGGGACAAGAGCTCCAGGCCTGGGGGGATCCCCTAAGGGCCAGAACCCAGAGCATGCCCAATGCCACCCTCATGGCTCCTGGCTTCTCTGTAGCCCAGCAAGTCCTGCAGCTCCCCACAGGCTCCAGCCCCCCGCCTAAGGCCATCAGATAAACATGGACAGGCTAGGGATTAAGGAAGGGAGCTCAGCCACAGCACTCAGCCGCTTATTGCTCCCTGAAATCACCCAGTCTTCAGAGTGGGGGTGGGGGATCCCCTCTTGTAACAATAGCCACAGGACCAGAGAGGCCAGGCCTTGGCAGGGTGGGGCAAGTGGGTGGCCACCCAGGGGCAAGCAACTGCTGGACCAGCTGCCTAGTGTGCCCACCTACAAGGCCACCCCAGGCCAGCCGGGCTGTGGGCAGCACAGACCCACAAGGGTGCCTGGGCTTAGAGGAGATGAACAGAGCTGGATCTGATAAAGGCCATTGGAAATTATTTTCTGTGATGCTATTTTGTAGTGAAAAAACAATGAGATGAAGACAGTGATGACATTAGAAAGAGCCCAAGCTCCAGGACCTTGGTGCCTGGGTTCAAATCCCGGCTCTTCCATTCATGGGCTGTGACTTTGGATAAGTCACATGATTCCTCTTGGCCTCTGTGTCCTCATTTGTCAAAGGGAAGTAATGTTACTTTACTCGGGGTGTTTATGAAAATTAAACCATCCAAGTTTCCCAGAGCTCACAGCCTGTGAAAACAGAAAGTCATAAGTAGTAAGGACCCAATTTTGTTGGCACTTACAAATACCTGATCATTGAGGAGTCGGGAAGAGTCAGATATTTTGGAAGTACCTCGGAAGTGTCTCCCATGGCCTCATGAACTTTCATTGCCTGACAAGCAAGCAGCTGCCTCCCTGAACACCCAGTCTCAGAAGACTGCTGTCTGAGCTGAGCCCCTCTGGCCATTACCACCAATGCCAAAGGTGTGAGTTGTCTCAATGTGAGGACAGAGAGGCCCCCTCTCCTGAAGTCGTCATACTCTGAGTCAGGTCCCACAGCAGGATCTCTGAGTTTTTGGAGAAGGTACTTTCAGTTTTTACAGATTGTCTCCTACCCCCAACTTCATCCCATCATAGATATCACCTTTCACTCACTCGTTCTTTTTTTTTTAAGTTTCTTTATTGTTGAGAATATTACAGATGTCCCCTTTTTATCCCCATTGATCCCCTCCACCCCACATCCATCCCACCTCCAGGCTTTCCCTATACCAGTGTCTGTGTCCATGGGTTATGCTTATAAACATATAAGCTCTTTGATTAATCTCTCCCCACCCACAGCCCCCTCCCTGCCTTCCCTCTGAGATCCCTCAGTCTGTGCCATGCTTCTATGTCTCTGGATCCACTTTGTTCATCAGTTTATTTTGTTTATTATAGTCCACATATAAGTGAGATCATGTGGCACTTGTCTCTCTCTTCCTGGTTTATTTCACTTAGCATAATACTTTCTAGTTCCCTCTATGCTGTGCCAAAGGATAAAAGGTCCTTCCTCTTTACAGCTGCATAGTATTCCATGGTGTAAATGTGTCGCAGCTTTTTTATCCACTCATCTGCTGCTGGGCACTTGGGCTGTTTCCAGATCCTAGGTATTGTAAACTGTGCTGCTATGAACATCGGGGACCATAAGTTCTTTCTGATGGGTGTTTCGGGTTCCTTAGGATATATTCCTAGAAGTGGGATCACTGGGTCAAATGGTTGGTCAATTTTTAACCTTTTGAGGAGCCTCCACACTGTTTTCCACAGTGGCTGCCCCAGTCTGCATTCTCACCAGCAGTGTACTAGGTTCCGTTTTCTCCACACCCTCACCAGCACTTGTCATTTGTTGATTTGTTGATGGAGCCATTCTGACAGGTGTGAGGTGATACCTCATTGTGGGTTTAATTTGCACCTCTGATGATTAGCAACGTTGAGCATTTTTTCATATGTTTCTTGTCCATCTGTGTGTCCTCTTTGGAGAAGTGTCTATTTAGGTCCTTTGCCCATTTTTTAATTGGGTTGTTTGTCTTCCTTTTGTTAAGTTGTATGAGTTCCTTATATATTTTGGATATTAACCCTTTATCAGATGTGTCGTTGGCAAATATGTTCTCCCACACCGTGGGCTCCCTCTTCGTTTTGTTGATGGTTTCTTTTCCTGTGCAGAAACTTTTTATTTTGATGCCGTCCCATTTGTTTATTTTCTCCTTAGTTTCTCTTGCCCTAGGAGATGTATCAGCAAACATATTGCTAAGAGAGATGGCTGAGATTTTGCTGCCTGTGTTTTCCTCTAGGATTTTTATGGTTTCATGTCTTACATTTAAGTCTTTTATCCATTTTGAATTTACTTTTGTGTATAGTGTAAGTTGGTGTCTAGTTTCACTTTTTTGTATGTACCGGTCCAATTTTCCCAACACCATTTATTAAAAAGACTGCCTTTACTCCATTGTATGCTCCTGCCTCCTTTGTCAAATATTGATCATAGTGACATGGGTCAATTTCTGGGTTCTCTGTTCTGTTCCACTGATCTATATGTCTGTTCTTGTGCCAGTACCAGGCTGTTTTG